CAACACCAATAGTTATGGCCACGCTAACGGTTGAGGTGCTATCGCTCTGATTAAGCACGCTGATGAAATAGGATTTATTTTCGGCTTGCAAATCTGGAACGTGAACTTGGCAAGTGATGTTGTGATCTGATGGTTGTAGGTCGTTGATGCGTAGGATTGATCCAACAACAGAACCTGCCGTGAAGGTGTCGAATCTGGAGGGAATCACATTGATAAGACCTCCGCGACTCGTTTCGTTTGAAATTCTCAGTCCATCAACGAACCACACGAAGGAGGTCTCGCTTGTAAGTTCCGATGGGAGAACGGAGCAAGTAAAATACGCCGACGTCTGAGGGGGCAAGATCGCTGGACCGTCGGCAGAGAGCACAGCTTGCACTCGCTCGGCTTTCCAGACGACCAAAGTTGCCGTTTCGTTTGCTGACACGCCGGATGGAACGGCAGCAACGCAAACAACGCGCTTGATTTGGTCTGATGCTTTAATTCGCAGGGACGAGGCGTAGGTATAGTCTCCACGATTCATATCCAAAGACACAACCAGATCCCTTATCACGGGGTATCTGTAGGTGTCTCCAACGTACCAGGTAAAGCTCTGAATATATGGCAGCCCGGAGGCGGTGCAGGTAAACACGGCTTCAGCGCCTTCATAGACTGTCTGCGAGGCAGGAGTTAGAGTCAAGGTCGGTGGAACAAACATAGGAACCTGAGAACAATATACCTCGTCATTGGGTCCATCCACCTTACAGTAGAACTCAATCCCATTGTCGTCTGCCTGGAGTGTGTATTCTTGAACCACAGTACCATTGGTAGGGATGCCACTCTTGGGGTTCAGACGATCTGGTCTGCCATCCCCCGCCCGAAGCAGGAGCAACTCTTGAACTGCGAGCTCGTGTGCTGCGGTGCATGTCAGCGTTACTTTGGTGGCAACCTTTCGAGTCTCTGGATCACCATCAGAGTGGCAGGAACAGCTCAGTAAACGAGAGTTTTCTGGAGCTACGACAGTCACTCTGGCTACCTCGGAGCCGCGACTAACATCGCTGGACGGGCAGTCGGAATTGTACGAGCACATGTACAACCCGGAATCTCTATGTCGCGCCCAATCGATCTGGAGGGTGAAGTTCTCAACCTTCAATACCTTGCTGATCCCATCTACGGTCTTTGTTCGCTCTCGTACGACTCTCCGGTGTGAGTACTTGCCACGGTACACGAAGTGAGACCTACCGATGTCATCTCTAATTTGCTCGTGTGTCAAATGCCCGTCCGTGATGTGAATATACCGCCATAGCCTATCGCCTTCTTGCCAGCGAAAAGCCCAAAATACCCGTTCCCAAGGTTGCCTATCCTCAACGATGCAGTGAAGTTCAACAGTTTGCTCTTGCGTAACATGGGTATCTCTCGGTAGGCTCGAGATATACACGTCATGACCAGGGACAGGCAACTGAATAGTTACAACAAAGAGAAGAATGAAATTGCGCGACATGGTAACACGAAACATTGTGGTGTTAAAAAATCGTCGGAAATATTTTACTTCTCAGAAGTTTACTCCTTCAGGGTTGACGTCAGCTCGGAGTGATGGTTGGTTGTTACTACCTGCTGCGATGTAAGAGCTTTAACGCCCAACAAACCTAAACCAATATAACACGCACTAGTTACCCACTAAGGTTCTAAAGGCGTAAGCATACATTTAGGTAACATATTACTCAAAACGCGCAAGATTTTTTTTGCCGGGTACCAGTCAGGTACGCATTTATAGCAGTATTAAAAGCAAGGTGTTTCAGTAGATATTTTTCCGCTAAATGCCACTCAAACATAACATGTATTATTGTGTGTGATATACACAGTTACATTATTTTCTCCATACAGAACATGACACGTGATTTTCTTTCAATTTGGCATGTTGCCAATAGCAAAAGTAATATAAGCCAAAGGCTTAGATCATAGGGAAAACCTACCAATGTATTTTTAACATCAGGATGCAAGCTATTTCAATTTCGCATTCCACTCGAATTCACTTCCTTCTTTGCCTTTCAATTTCTCTCTACCCCAAATTTCTACCCAAACTCTGACAAGTTTGTTGCATTGCAGTGCTTGAAATAAATCCTCTTGCCAAACACACAAAAAAGAAGCTTTAAAACTGGTCACTTTTAAAAATGCAGATTTCTACTGACACACAATCACTCTTCTATCTAGATTTTGAAATTCCTGAGACTCTACCAACATTGGGGCTATCCATAAAGCACATGCACACAAGGGGCATGTTAATTAAGAGTGGGTACACCTTGCGTTGGGAGGGGGTCAAAGTCAGTGCGTACACCCATCGAGAAATAAGTTGTGACAAATTTATGGAATCCGTGTACTTTCTTTAATTTAGGTACTTCCAAGCCACAACTACGGTAATGCCAAGCTTGCACAGTGCCATGCAGTTCATCCGTGCCCGTTAAATGCCTTTTCTACCAATAGGGTACTGTGTCTGTCTAGCCCGGATGCGTGGTATGGTTAGCGTGACCATCAATAATGGTCACAAATTATTTTAGCTCTTAATTTTTTTAGTTACAAAAACTTTTATTTTCGGTCAAGGGCAGAAACTTAACTGAAGTGCGATTTGATACATGCACGGTGTGGTTACCGTGACCCTCAACAATGGTCACGACAAGTCATAATCCATAACGAATGGGTCAAACAGCGCAAATTTTTATTTTTAGTCAAGGACAGAAACTTACCTGAAGCGCAATTTGAACATTAGGCCTAATTTCGGTTTCTTCAGAGGAATCCCTGAACAGGGAGCCAAAAAAGGGGCACGTAAAATGTTATCGAAGGGATCATATGAATATGAACTGATAACAAAGGTGGATTTCTGTGTCTGTCCCTCACCAGAATGTTGAAGAACAAAAAAAAAAAAAAAAAAAAAACAACGTCTGCATAATTAGGAACAGGTGTTACTGATAATAATGAACAGTTGGCATCTATCATAATGACGTGGGGCTTCAATTGGCCTTATCGATTTGTACACGAAAGCTTCGAATGCAATGTATTCTGTTAATTCAGTTGATATGGTGTGATACGTGACAAATACGCTGTACAGTATAATACTGTCGTTCTACATGATGGGAACTTGACGCGGGTTTTTCATCAGAAACCGGAGTAAGTAATGTTGGGAGTTGATAGGTTTAGCCTCATATCAAAATTAGTCTAAACGGGAAATAGTTGGGCGTGGGCTTATGTACATGTCTTAAATTGTTGTAGATATGAGCAAGCTTTATCGATAGAAACACAGTAAAGATAGAGTGTGCTTGTTTGTGTTGCAACATTGTGATCTGTACACTGCACATTCACACCATAACAAAATGGTACAGAATGTGGGAAAAACTCAACTATTATCAAGATTAAACTAGACCTATATCTAAAATATAAACTAAACTATCTATATCAGATTAAATAAAGTCCGTTATTATGAACACTTAAAGGTATATGCTTAACGAATCATTATACACCAGTATTTTGTGGAGATACAAACCGAATTTAGCAGTGTAAACGAGATGAAACGAGAACGGAATGTAACAAAAGTGCACCTGTTACTGCGGTGATTATACTTTGATGTTGCCATACGGAACCACAGTTGAACCCGAAACCAAATTATGCTGACTCGAACAAATCATAACAATGTAAAATTTGAAAGCTACTTTGAAAACACTTTCACTTATTTTTCTGAAACTGAAACCATTTCTGTATTCTTTATTTCATTATGTTTTCACATTATTCAACCAACTATATATATCCCTTAAATTGATATGTACGGACACTTTTACGACGTATTTTTAAGGGTAGAACATGTAGAACAAATATGACCCAATTTTAAATCCTGCCAAATAAATGCTTATCTTTCATTTTAGATGACAACAGTCGGCCTGTGTGGGAAAAAAAACAAAGCGTTTCAGGTTGAGACATCATAAAAGAAACAAGAAACAAGCCTCAGCAGCAGGACGCTGCAGGAGTCAATCCAGTTGAGTTGCCACGTACTGCCTTCAAACGTACCTAGCATAAATCAAAAACCTGAGAGAACGCATCAATGACATCAGAGAATTGCGAATACAGTTGCTTCGTTCATAGTAACAGCACATTTGTGATTACCTGCTCCCTGCAAAGAAGTGTAAATATGGCATCATTGACGCATTTTAACAGCAATTTTATTACTTTATTCTAATCGCATCAAGATTTGGCTGTGGTTTTCTTTTTTCGTCCAAAATGGCTACCCTGGCTTCTCGCTCAAGCATCAACACAAACGATAGCAGCTTGGATCCAACACACAACCACCATTCATGCATGTATTTGAGGCTACAGAACATGTGTAATCTGTCTTGCCGCAGTTGGCCTGATCGAATGCTCGCTGCAATTTTTATCTCCTTATGTGCTGGAATAACGATGGTGATCGTCGGTTTCCTCGTCCCCAGGTCACCCCCGTCTGGGGCTAAGGAAGAGCTGTCAGCCCGCGCGTACGAGGCTCTCGCTCAACAATACGCAAACCGGGCTATCATTTTGGATGTTGTCATGGTGATGGGTTTATGTTGCCTGCTTATTGGCGCCATTGCTCTGTGTGCACTACATGTTGGTGTGTATTTCACAGGGAGTGGGGTCTTTCCGCTGTTTTCCGCCCATTTTCACGGGCGACCTACCTCCAACGACGGGAATGATACGTTGACGTCATCCACGTCTGAAGCCTTGGTTTTATCAAGGACTGTAAGCTACGGAGGCCTAGAAGAGACCGAACACTGAGTGAAGTCAAGTTGCCTTAATCTAGAGGCCAGCCTTGAGGAGAGGCAAAAGAAGTCGAGCATCAATTGACACCGGGTTCAGTGCCACATTTACAGAGTGGACCTCTCCAATGGACTTCTGGAACATCGAGTCGCTGACTTCGTATACAGCATTTCCATTCTACGAAACTGGGTCTTGCAATGGCTTAGAAAACTACAAGTAAAAAGCAATGCATTGAGACAAAACACCGTATCTTAACATTTTAATGTTTATTTACTAAACATCATTCGTGAATTTTTTTGGCCAACCACTTACTCTCATGAGAAGATTTGGTTTCGCATTATACGTTTTACAGTGTTATAGTAGTTAAAAGGGTAAACAATACATTTAGAATCCTTATTTTTCCAATGAATATACCATAGAAGTAATATCAGGTAAGAACATGGCTTCTAACAACACAGCTTGTCTTGTTTCGTGATTGGCCTACCGACGTCATCAGGTGACTAGCACACCCTTCTATGACGATCAATGACTGGTTAAACCGATAGACTTGACCACAACGTGAACAGAAGGGGTATCTTCTTCCTTAAAGATTTTGCGCAGAAAATCGTGAATAACGGCTTAGTTAGAAACGCGACTTATTTTCATCATACTTACAGAAAAGTATGTTAGAGTGAGACCTCATGGATGGCCAATACCAAATTAGGCCACTTAAGATAGCTCTAAATGCAAAAGCATTAGGTACCATTTCGTTACTTCTGCGACGGTTTTCATTGGGCTCCATGTTGGGGTACCGAGTCAACATTAATGATGTCACAAAACCTAAACGTGACAGCTAAAGAGGAACAAACCCTTGTTTTTCAAATAATTTCATAAGAAAACTCTGAAGAAAACTCAGTCATTTCACTACATTTAAATGAGGGTGTATTGCAAAAGACTTAGTGCATGTAAATGTTTTTGTTTTCAAAAGTGCTTATTAGCACCAGCAAACTACCATATAAAAGCTAAAGGGATACACTGCCCACTTTGCTCCAGGAGCAAACCATCAAATGTAGCAGAAACAAATCAAATATGAATATGTACATGTAAATATTTGGAGCCACATCTTGGTGCTGTTTCCTTCCTGTGTAAATGTAATACATTGTATAAAACAAACATACTTTCACTCTCATTTCTACATCATACAGTTACTGCGTGAGTAAAACATAAACCAAGTTTAGTGCAAAGGGTGAGTCTTCCTGATTGAAAGAAAAGGACTGAAAAGAAAACATCTGAAAGAACACCTTTGTTGGGAAAAAACATGTATTATTTACATATACAATGTTACAGTTTGAATGAACAGTGCAGTAAAAATGGCCTGCGCGACTGAAGTGAACAGAGCTTTGTACAGAAATGAGGTTTGTCAAACAAAATCAAACAAAATTTGGGGAACAAGCTGGGTTTTGGTTCTTAGAACTGACAACCGGATGCCACAACATGTTGGGCACTTACTTCTTCAAGGGGAATTACAGAACTTGTCATAAGCTAGTTTGTTTTAACCTCCTTAATTCCACAACATTGATTTGTTTCGCTGCACATCTTCAGGTGTTTATTTTCTCTTCCACTAGTTCAAGAATTAAAAAGCTGCAAGATGGCTTAGCAGCTTGAGGGGAAACCCATGCTGAAGTCAGATTTTCACAAAGCTGCTAAATGACACAGAGACACGAGCCAATGCTGATGCCACGTTTTCACAAGTGACCATGCCTTGCTACCTTTCACCCCACTAGCTCCCCTTTGGGCAACAGACATGAATTTTTAATCAAAATCAAATTACATGCATTGTCAAGTAGAATTTAGCCATACCACTGTCTGAATACAAACACACTTGTACGCTTGCCAAATACACAGATATTTATCTAAAAATAATTTTATTAAGGATGAAGAAATTCCTCCAGTAGGAATTCAAACCTTACAAGTTGAAGATCCGCTTGAATTTCAAGATGCCATACATGTATTTATTGAAAGTTGTTTGTATTGATTACTGTCATAAATCAATGATTTTATACAAATTATTAGTAAAGAATAGCCAGAGTACAAAACGTGTTGTCTCATCATTAATAATCACATTGTCCAAGTAAGAAACAAACTTTCTTTTATATCAGTACTGTTATACATTATGATACATGTATGTACAGGTACACGCTCCGTGTACTGGCCAATGAACAACCAGAGTTGTAAGGACTTGAGTCAATGACTTGAGTCTGACTTGAGTCACAATTTTTGGCGAATCAACTTGACTCTGTGACCAAATTACTCGACTCAAATTTCTCATGGAGACTCGACGAGTACAAGTTTATAAGACTCCAGTCTCAAAAAAATACAAAGCAAATTTTTAGTTTGCTAGATACCTGTCACCATAATTTTTTTTCAGCACGTTTAAATGAAAATAAAAATTCCAAAAAATGACTTACATCTTGTTGTGTTTTATTGTATTTTGTTATTAAACAAAAAATTTGTGACTCAAATTGACTTGAGCTCGGTACTTGACGCAACTCAACTCGACTTCTAGACCTAATGACTCAACATGAGTCACAATGTTAAAATGACTCGAAAAATGTGGTGACTCATTACAACACTGTGAAAAACTTATTTCTGTTGATCATAAATTCACCTCCCAATTATCACCGATAAAAATGTTTATTGACGTTTCCTTTCGTCTACCAGAATGGAGTAGATCTGTCTTTTACCACTTCCATCTTCACTTTGATAAAAGAATTAGTGAATGCAATACAAAATGTAAACGTTCACCCCAAAAAGTCTATACCATTGCCAACAAAGGATTTTCAGTCACATGATTTTTGATGGTCAGCGTTCAATTTATGCAGAAACGCATGCACCTTTAGAGTATCTCAACATTCTGGCATATACATGAAACTGCCGCTAGAAATACCCAGGTTTGAAAATGGATGCACTTCAACAGGCAAGGTGCGCTTCTTAATGAATTGTTATGAAGGAAGTTTGGTTAATATGCTTTGATGACAGAAAGAGTAACTCTTGAAATCACTATGCTGCAGGAAGCAAAAGACTACATTTTCAGAACTAATTTTGCAATGAACAAAATGAATCCAGTTACTCATTAAATTTTGTATGCTTGAAACCTGAGAGCTGAGGTGGAATTATCTCATCAAAGACAAATCACTGTTAACTGTGAACGCTGACAAGCTTACGGTTTCGATCAAACAAAAGATATTAAAACTTAAGATTTAGTATGACTGTCTCGGAAGATGAAATCCAACTTCAGTCCGTGTTTGGAATTTACTGCCACACTACACGCTATAACATTATTATAAATAATAAACAATCCTACACAAACTGAAACTGTTGGTATTTATTTGCAGTCTGAAAACATCACAGTAAATACTGAATGACTAAAAGAAAACTGCTCAGCTATATCCAACCTATCAAGTCCAACCTTTAAATCCACTGCAATATACATATAATGAACTAAAGCTAGTATAGAAACTTTGACCAAAAAAAATCAAAATATATACTGAATAATAATGTGATAATTTTTATAAAGATTATGACTAAGTATAGAACAACCTCTGCTGAAAAATGAACCTTGTTTGTGCCATATCGATCTTTCAAAATTCTATTCCTTGTTCTGTCTAGCTGGGTTTCTTCTCCATTTTCAACCGAAAGACGTTTTTAAAGTTAAAACCTCTCCTTTCTGAAAATATTCCTACTTCAATCCAACAAGCTAAAACCCTTGAGTGACTCAAGAAGAAATCCAACAGAACAATCTGAGTAATTAATCTCTTTTTTGGCCCAGCTGAGCCCATTAAACAGAAGTCAAATGGCCTGATTGAGACCAATATGTAGCTACCTCTTAGAATTGGATCCTGTTGAGGATTGACGGACAGGACCACTGCTTCGCCGAATCGATTGCTGGTAGTTAGACCTACTGGGAAGAAGTTAAAAAATAAAATGAGCACCATAAATAAACCACAAAACTGTCACTAATGCAATATGCCAGACATACATTTTTAAGCAATCCAACATTGTAACGCTGTGCTTAAATGGCAATAGACTTTGTCTACCAACTACCGGTGGATAACAAAAAACTGATTTTGTGCGCTGAAGGAAATAACCACATATGAATCCGAGGCTACTGGTCATTTGCCAAGTTCAGCTGAAGGTTACCTTTATCCCCCAGTCTCCAAGTGAGACCATGAGATAGCACTTTTTTAAATAGCGTCCAAGTATGTCTTGTTGGGCTGACATACAGCGTGTGCGTAATGATTCATGCACATACATGTATGACACAATGCTAAATCTTTATTGAAATGTAAAGTCTTTGGGCACCAAGCTGAAGTGGTCGTCCTCTCTGCCTCTCTCTCCTTTGACAGAGGGGGGTGAGTCTGTTCTGAAAATCTGACATTAGTTGGTTTCAGTACCGTGAATCCTCTTTGAGAGAGTTACTCTTGTCAACTACGCACATACCCACTTTGAGGATTAGTTGGTTGGTACCGGACTGGCAACTTACTTGGGTGAGCTTGTTGATGAGGATCTTGGGATGGTAGCTGAGCTGCGAGCGCTGGCGATCTGTCGACAAAGGCGAGTAATCCATCGTTGCTGCTCCTCGGGTGAGTTTGTCATAAGCAGCATGTTCTTAGCAACGTCTAGGTCAATATTCACTGCAAGAACAATTGAAGATGATGCAATACGAGACGTCATACTCACTTAGGGGGGTACGGAAGGGGGTTAAGATTGGAATAGCAGTTTGTCTTGCCTTCCATCTGAGTGACCGAGGTTCGAAACCCTCCGGATGCATTATGTGTCTTAGATTTTAAAATGTCCTGATTATGCTGGATTACCAAGACATTTTTCAGAGGTATGCTTTATGGAAAAAACTGGATGAGTTTAACGAGGACGATATGAACAGTCAGTTTTATTGGTAAACTCGCCAAATTTCTCAACATTCAAGTTGGAATCAAATTTTAGCCAACCATACAACTAGTTACAATGTACTGTGATACCACTGTAATCTATTTCCACTCACCTTTGCATGGTGCACAGAACTCCTCATTCTTATCAAAATGCTCCTTGTGAAATTTCATGTGACACACTGCAGCCAGAAGAACGAGAGAGAGCGAGTCAGTTATAAACTTAGAACTAACACCCACATGTCGAGGTGAGCCCATCAATTATAAACTAAACACTTGTATGTCAAAGTTGGGATCCTGCTTATAAAATCTCCAATCCTCCAATGGGTGTTGAAGAACCAAGGACGGAGGGATGCTGTTCATCTTGTCAATCTTGAATGAACCTTGTCACAATTTTAGTAGATTTACTATTGAGCAAAATCACCCTGCAAACTGTGTTCGGCAACAAAACAATCTCAACAAAGAAAGTAGGTGAGGCAAGAGGCTGAGATTATTTATAAGTAAGGAGAAATTCAGGAATCATCCAACAGAGGGGCGGGAACAACAGCGATAAAATCAGTGGTGTAGTCAAGACCATCACAAGACCATGCACATGGCCAGTCACAACTAACAGGGTGAACAATGACAAAGGAATGCTTTTGTTGCAGTTTATTTGAATGGCTTGGGACTTGAATGCAGACTGGAGGTCTTGTGTTGTCTTATGAAGGTCCTCAGTGGTCTCAACTACAACACTGGATAAAATACTGCAAATTTTTCAGGGATTATCATAGCTAATTTGAGGATAAGATTTCTCACAAAAACCTGACATCTTTAGTGTGAAAACGTAGCAGGACCTGAATGACTAACCCTCTCGGCACTTTGGGTCAAAATCCTGAAATCCCTTGGAAGTAGGCAGCATTAAACACATACCTGGTCTGAGTCTACTCACATTTACATTCCAAGGCTGGAGGGGCCTTAATCACACTACTCAATGTTTTGCCACAAAATTCACACACTGTGGGCATGTGGAAGTGAACCACATCAAAGTTGTGGTTCTTGTACTTGATAATATCGCTGCTATCCTGCAGATTGGAAAAATGAATTATTAGTTTTTCATCACAGGTCTTGCCCTTACTTGACGTATGTATTTATAAACACTGCATACTCGGTACTTGTTTGAGAGCTTGCAAAAAAAAGTCACAAGCTTACTCGGTTGGGACTTGAACCTCAAATCTCCTGCTTACAAGTGCAGAGCTCTTAACCACTCGACCACCGAGATTGTTGGGGTTCGAATCAGATATAGCAGCAGGTACCGCAAACCACAAAAAATGAATTATTAATATCCACTTGTTTGCAGAATCACTTCTAGAGCAGAACTTAACAAAGTGATCTTTTGATGGTCAAATGTGAAGAGCATATAGAGATGGTCATAGCTGGGATGTGTTTGTTGGTCAACTCATCTACTGACCTACCTCTATGTTGGTTTCAATGGGCTGCTCTTCTCTTCGATTCTCCCCTTCCCCTGCGTAAAGAACTTGGAATATGCGTGGAATGTCTTGAGCATTAGCTCGGATGATGTCACCTTGTGTCACGGCACGGACATGGTAGAGTTTACTGTGATCAAAATCAGAGCGGACAATTTTACACCAGGATAGTCTGAGCAAATTGTATCAACTCAAGGTGATGTGATCTCAACCTTGTTCAACCACAGTTGGGTAACTGTTTTATCAATGCCAGTTAGTAAAAAAAAAGTAGAATAGCGGAATGCAAAATGGTTGTTTCCCTTGTTTTTTATCAACACATGATTTCGTATCTGTCTTCAATATGAAGAATTCTGACATTTCAGATAACAAAGAAATGACTCACTCGATATCAAGAACCAGGTATGGCTTTTTGCTGTTCTTTTCTTCCTCCGTCTCATAAAATAAGACCTTCTTGGAGCTAACTTCCACATATTTCTTCTTCCAGCCATGACGTTTAATATTCTTGCTGGGAATCTGCAACCAACCCTCCAGGCGACCTCCTTGAGAAAGAAATAAGTTGTTGAGTCAAACTGAACTAAGAAACCACTATCTTAAGGCTCCAGGAAATCAATTATCTGACTACGAAACTGCTCTTTTTGTGTGGAATATGAAACGACAAACTAAAAACAAATCTCCTTTTATCTGGGAGCACTAGACCAGTGTTATTGAAAAAATAATCCGGGAAGAGATCAGGTTTGATGACACTTTTATGAAACAGGTGTTAAGAAACTGAGTTACCTGTTGCAAAGTTTAGGAGACAAATCAGATTTCAAGTAAAAAAAGTGAGTGATTATCTCACATTCTTCCATCAACAAAAAACTAGAACAAGGAAATATCAATGAAAACGAAGTACAAGAACTAAAAATTGAATGCGCAAGAACCTTTAAACTGGCAAAATAAACAAATTCCGAGAGATGACATTTCCAGGAATGCAGCACTGTGTAACAGGATCACAGGAAAATTGGTTGGAAAATCACGGAAAAGGAATTGAAAGGAGCCAAGTCGCCTTGGTGTCCTATTACCCAAATCACACAGGAGTTCACTGAAATTTAGCATCTCTTTTTGATTGGTTTCAAATCAGTTTGGGTCGGTAGAGTCAGCTCTGTGGTTGGGGTTAATTGATTAATGCAGTGTTGAAGTTTGCAGAATTCAGGAAAAAGCATATGAGTCATAAAATCAAACAGGAATCTGTATACATATATAGTGTCAAAGGAAACAGGTGCTATGCAGATATATGGTATCAGAGGAAACAGGTGCTATGCAGATATATGGTATCAGAGGAAACAGGTGCTATGCAGATGTCAAAACAAAGTCTCACTACAGAGCTACCACAAGAGCTAATGAGAATGGTTGTGTAAATTTATAATGGAACTATCAGTTTCTGACCTGAAGGCTTTTTCAAACTTCATGCAAGACAGTTATAAAAGCTACTTACAAATTAAGTTATATTACACAATCACTACTGTTATAAATCAGACAATCACAGTTTCTTTTTAAACTGTACTTGCACAAAGTCTAGCCAGAGAAAACAAAATCATACGATACCAACACTCCACATCAGACAAGCAAAAACCGAGGTAAAAACAAAAAATGAAAGTAGATTTGACAGGGCACTGCAACAGAACCATCAGCAAGCTGTGATGACGAGGAGAAGGGAAGACAAGATCATCTCAAGAAGCTATGGAGTTTGTGGAGGGAATAAAATTGGTCTACGCTACCCCTACCGTCCTCACTCTCTGCATCGCCGGCGCTGCTGATGCTAAGATTATCGGCATTCTGCTGCTGCTGTAAAGTCCGCAGACGGTGCTGCAGTTGCTCCAGCTCAGAGTCGCGGCTGTCAAGTTCCATCTGAAGTTGGCATCGCTTCTGGTACTCCTCGTTGTAAAGCTATGGAAAAAGACAAGAAGTAGCTAGTAACATCAGTGATATTTCTGAGAAGAGCCCTTTTTATCCAACTTATAAAATTCTGTCTTATTAGAGTTCCTCTCAGTAGAAAAAAGGAGGATTACTGACGTCTTACAAATGTCAATAAAACTATTGATGTGACAAACTGAATAGCAATCCAATGACGACTTTTTTGTACGAATGGCATGATCGGCATCCTGACCTCATGTATATGGATTGATGAGGTCACTACACAGCTTATACACCCTGGATCAGAGGTTCTGGTGGTGTTTTTTACACTTTGACTTTACTTCAATTTGTGGCTTCAAGCTTGAGTTTTGAAAATTGAGCTGCAGCCACCTCACTCAATGCAGCTAAATTGTCAGCAGCACAGACATCAAATTGCATAACAGAGCGCGACAACTTTTCTCCACTTGGTTTCTACAGCAAATGTTTGAAAATGACAAAGTAATCCTTCGATAAATTTTTAATATGTTGGTAGTGAAGTTGGTATGAGCAATCCTTACCCCTTGTAGGTCTGAGTAGTCTCTTATTTGCTTAGCAGCTAGTTGGTTGTGTTTAGTTCTCTCCTGGTTGAGTTGTTGCTCCAGCTTACGACATTCCTTCTCTTTCTTCCTCAAATCTGAGGAGCTGGCTTTGTTGCCACGTTGACTCGGCAGCTTTCGATTCATCACCTCGGCCAACTTGTTCACAGCCTTAAAAAAGAAAACTTCAAACATGTAGACACTACACAAGGAGGTCATGAGTTAATTAAACTATACCTTCAGCTCAGTACTTTATCTCACCGCTGTACGGAGGGACAGAAATGCCAAAACACTCAGATATTGATATCTTACAATGCTGTATTACAACATCTTATTGAAACGTAAAATCTTTGTTAAGCTCTATTGGTATGTATGATTTGGCACTCTGATTTTTACTTGAGTTCAGCATAAACTAAATTTTCACATGAACAAGATATCTTACATTTTTGATGGCATATTAAAGCAACATTAAAAATTGTTATCAACATAAAGGAACCAACAGCAGTGTTGTTTATTTATTTTGTTCTTATTTTGTTTATTGTTTAAGTTCCAGTTCAAACATAAATTCATTGTCTTAAAAGCTGGAGAGAAGAGTTAACTGGAAAACGCTTACAGCTTGTGTCTTGAGTTTTTCGCTGTCTAGCTGCTTTTTGTGTAACTCCTTGAGGACGTTGATGTTGGCGTTATCTGTCTGCAGACGCTCAAGCTCTGAAAGAGAACACGACAGGATAATGTGCCTGGAGATGGTCGCTCATATCGGTATGAAAACAAACACGATAGGATAACGTGCCTACAGATGGTCGCTCACATCGGTATGAAAATATGATACATTTAATGTTAAAAACTAAAAAAAAAGCAATTATCATTGAGAATACAACTGAATGGAAAGTCTCATTATACTGGTGCTGGATCCACATTTGTAAATGTCCTTGTACACGCCTTCCCATTGTTCCTGTCATCCTTGACACTGCCCACGTCATTGTCTTTGACACTATCTTTGTTACCATCTTTGACAAGGATCACGTCATTTTTCTTGTTAACTGTCAAGACATTAAGAGAGCATTATCTTTGCTGTTGTCTTGGTCATCCTTCACAATGTCCATTTCATTGTCTTTGTCACCGTCCTTACCTTGCATGGCATTCTGGAGTTTGGTATAGATCTCATCCTTCTCTGTCGAGGCAACTTTCATTCTGTTGTTGATCTGGTTGATGCTTTCCTCCGTCTGATATTTCAGAAGAAAAAATACCAGTTTTATCTCACGCTCTGTGTTGGAGTCTACAGTGGTCACAATGGACATAGGAAGCTCAGGAGGGAATCAAACCTCACACCTCCTGCTTGTAAGTGCAGCTGCCCTACGACAAATCCTTGCGTATGAAGATCTGTTTCAATTTCCGTAATGAAAAGTGGTTAGTAACAATTGTGGTAGTACAGCCATAATGTAGTTGGTTAGAGTGAGTGAGACCTAGATCAGAAGCAGCAGTAACATGCAAGTATGGAGAAATTGACATTATCTACCATGCTTGAATGATGGTTTGTACGACTTTACCAAATACCAGATCACTTTCTTAATCCAGTCTTTTAAGTCCAATAAGCAATTCATTTTTTGGGACAGGAGGTCATTGATTTTACATCATGTTTCTGCAAATAAGATCTCAGAGCTTAACTTCAGAAAACATGCAAAATAAATGGCACTTCACACACAAAATAGAGTGCAAAACTTTTTTAAACATTCTGAAACCAATTCAGTAATATATACAAAATGGAATATTCTATGATAAAATTAAACCCCACATTCACATTGATTGTTTGGCACTGTACCCTCGCGTCAAGTAAAATAAAGTATCAAGACATTGAAATGTTTTATGGGTATGAGCACTGGTGGTTTTCCTGAAAATGTAGCCACACATTTCTTGTGGGTACTCCATATTACGCTTCACCGACAATGTTATGAGCACAGTATTAACTTTTGATAACAAGCTGGCTTCAAGAGCTCGGCCACAACACACAGTGTGACAAATGACAATCCAGGGTGCTAATTGACTGTTCCATTCGAATCCAACACAGGACTTTACTACCACAACCAACAGGATTCTAATGAAATCCCATGAATATTTTACTTCACATCCCTGAAAAAAGACATGCATTTTAAAGCAAAGCCACACAGCATTTTGCAGAAACAAATATATCTCTGTGAGGATTAAACTCTAAGATGTTTTTTTTTGCCTTCCCCTCAAACAGTTAACATGAATTACAATCAATCTGTCATGAATGGAAAGTGTTCTTATACAAGAAAGCCATTTTATTTCTTTTCATGCAAATTTTGTGGTTAGAAAAAAGGATAGCTACCCAATGATCCCAGGAATCTACATTTCAGTTTATTTCACTGACACCTGTTCACCACTAGGGTTGTATTGAAGATTTGGAAATTATGATTGAGTTGCCCAGCATTCTACATTTATATAATTTGAATCCTAACAAATTAACTTACGGACATTGTTCATTTGTTAGTTTTCCATTTGCATCATAGAGGAAATATTTTATGCTTCATAAGATATGGTAGTTTGTATTGTTTTGCATTCTGCAAGATGTGAGAACCTGCAACTCAAAGAGGAGCTCTAACAAGTTTTGCCTCACTCAGGCAAACCATGTCTGCTACCCTGGAAATCCAGGCGCTGGATATTCAGGTATATCATGCAATCCCAAATATGTAAGGTACAGGTCTAAAAAGGGTTATTCAGAGAGACAAAAATGCATTATTCGAATTCGTGTTGGCAAGCACTTCACATAAAACTTGAAGTGAAAAACCCGTAAATTGTAGCAGTTGATGTCATTTTACTATTAACAGAAACAAAGGATACCCTTTATTTTTTTAAACGATTTTTATGCGTAGCCCAGACACAAAATTGCAGGTACAATATAAACCTAAACTGTACTTACTCTAAATGCAAATGAGTTATGAAGCACTTGGGTAACTAGGGACAAAATGTCAGAGACAAACAGTATCATTGTTTGTCCCTACCTTCCAACAAGTGCTTTACATCTGTGAGAAAATTTTGACAAAATAATGGTGTCAGGTGAAATTGTTTGTGGAGAGCTTATTTCACAGAGCTGTCATCAATAGGAGAATGATCAGGCAGAAATCTTGGTTTGCATTAACTGGTTTTCCATCCAGATGTAATAAACTGGGTATCCCATTTGGCTGGTCCACTGCATCTTTTGTTTGACACTGTTACAAAACAAATGGCAAATTTAATTTGAGCCAAAATCTGAACAACGCACACACCAAGAAGCCATCGTTAAAAGTCCAGTGAAATTTATATTCTTGTCAGCTCTGTAAGACATGGCCTCCACTGATGATGACAAGTGACACGTGCAACATGCAAAAGCAACGCTTGGTGTCCAAGATCTCACTTGATGATTTCCTGAGGATCAATTTTTGTTCTGGTGTACTTACTTCTTTTTGTTTTTCCTCCAACTAGACAAAGTGCGGCAGGTGAAGAAAGAGAAGCAAGGATGGAGATATATGAAAAACAGGGAGAGCAAAATGGAAATGTAGACCAGAGAAAAAGAGATATCACATTTGTTGATCTGTCAGCTTCATAACAGGTGTCATTTTCATTCAAGGACTCTAAAAACCTACAGCCAGTACTTGTTTTGAACTAAAAAACAATGTTACAAATCAATGTCACACTACTACAACCTGAAAAAAATGAAATTGACAGTCAACTTTTTCGCATCTATATTTGAAAGATCTGGCATTGAGGAGTTGGGCAAGGGGCAAATGGTATGTACAGGGAGGATGCTGGCGTAAGGGCTAGATGGGGGTGACTTTAATGAAAGGGTTGGGAAGGGAATTATTTTGCAGGGAAACAGAAAACTGACAAGGGAGAAAACAGTTCTGATTAGTCCTAAAATGGGGAATTTCATTAACCTTAACAGTAGCGGTACATAATACATGTACTAAAAATTACTACTTAGTAGTAAAATGTAGTATACAGCACTGTCACTTGTATGAGGACATGACTGTATTGTTCTCTGAAGCCATAAATACAGTAGATAAGACAATGCACCATACAGTGCCGTGGCACTATGAATACACGACTTCATTGTTCTCTAAGTTTGGCTGTTGGGGATAATGCCCCCTAATCATGATAATAGACGAGACATATTGACCAAAAGATAGAAGTGATTGGATAGGGCTCATTTTAGGAGACATGGGAACTATTGCTGGTAAAATTTGGATGTGCATCTTCATATCAAAAAAGACTTTATCAGCAAACTCTGATGAGGTAATGTAATCAGAGGCAAAACCTAACAAAGGGATAAATGAGACTATGGGAAAAGGTATAGGGAGAGGCTGTAGGTAGGAAAGAGGGGAACAACAGGTGGAAGGGGGAGGAGCTACAAGTAAAAGGGGAGGAGTTGAATTACCTGTGAGATGAGGTTGTTCTTTTCATTGATATCTTTCTTGTATCTCTGAAGGTTTTCTTTGATTTCTAGTTCCCTCATTGTCTTTTCCTTCTCCAGATCTGAGCAATGCCCTTCTGCAATTGACCTGATGGTAAACCAAAGACAAGCAAAACTGGAATGGTTACACCACGATAAATGAAATGTTTATTTTTCTTACTAAAATTTGACGGCTACTTTGTTCAGGTCACTACACTGCTTTCTGGTGGCGAACGATTCTTGTAGAATATCATTCAAACAGATAATGCTCAATCCAATTCTAGTGGCATTGCTTGGAGGAAAATTACATCTTATAAAAACGATTTGAAAAAATTAGATAGAGGGTTTGCTGTAGCACATTGTGGACAGATCTCTTTTTTGAAAGGGGTATGGTTCTGATAAGAACCAGTGAGTGTGTACTGGACATTTCAATCGGTATGCTTTGGTCGTCTTCAGGAGAGGACAACCAGAGCACACACAAAAATTGACCAGTCTTGGCATGGAATTTGCATAAAGCTAAGCAGTTTTTATGAAATAAATGTCAGAGATAAATTGCAAAAAGAAGTGAACCATGCACTCTGCTTTCCTGTGCAGACTCATTAACCACAAATCCACGGATTTAACGATTAGAGAATATTTGATGAGTATGTTCTCTTGCCATAACTCACCTGGCGAGTTGCTCGGAGTCAGCTTTTGTGAGAGCTATCTCCAGATGTGTGGACAGGGAATCCCTATTGAAAGACGAATAACACAGTCCAAGGAGTTAGTTAACCCCATTCCAAATCCTTCCAAATCCTCTGGGCAGTTTGGGAGAGTTTTGAAGGATCGAGGCAGTGGGCACCCCTTCACAGAACATGTTTGAGAATATTAAAGGATTTTGGAAGATTGAGGCTGTACCCAATTTTTTTTTAAGTGGGCCGTTGGAGGATAGTGAAGGATTGAGGGTATATCCTCTGAAAAGAGCCTAGGTGGTTAGGGTTAAGCCAAGCATGGACATTCAAGAACTAAACAATCAACCATTTCTAGTTTCTAGTTCGGTTTTCTGCGCATTAAATTCTTCTTGAGACCGGAGTTTTTCTCTTTTCAGTTCCAGTGATGTGTAGATACTTATGCAGATTTCTTACACATTTCATTCAAACCTCTCCGCAAGAAGTCTGTACAGATAGATTTACTTACCTCTCCGATTCCAGTGATATGATGGTCTGCTTCCGCTGTTCCAGTTCATGCTCTTTTTCTTCCAATTGATCATTTAGTACTACGTTGTTGTTTTTGTACAATTGCTGGAAAGTAAACAACAATTTGAGCATTATCTATGAGAAATAAAAAACAGTAATTTTTTGACGCTTGAAAAAACTGGAATTGTAAGTTTAACCTCTAAGACAGGTAGAGAAGTGTTTGTAATCAGTTTATATTTCGATAACATGGATGTTATGAAAAATAAACCTGGGAAAGATGAAATTCACAGGACAAGTTTCGATACATTACATATTTCTCATTTTCCAAACAAAGACAAACACTTACGGTGAATTCTTGCTCCGATTCCAGATTTTCCTGGAGTTCCCTGATCTGTAGAGTTGTAAGTGCAGCATTCCTGATGAGAACAAAGTTGTAATTGTTCTGAGATGTTCCAGGTTATTCTGAGATAGATCTTAAGTCTATGACACATAGACTGTGTGTTTGTCTGGTAATGGTCTTGCGACAGTACTGTGATGGTCTTGTGTTTGTCTTGTGATAGTCTTGTGATGGTCGTGTGTTTGTCTTATGATGACCTTGTGATGGTTTTCTATAGTCCTGTGATGGTCTTCAGAGGTCTAGCCTACAATATTGACTGATTAGATCTACTCACTGTCTGGCCTTCTGCAGAGCTTCCTGAAGGCTCTGGATGGTTTCCTTCTGCTCCTGGATCTCAGCTCGTAGTCGTTTCTCCTCAGCCCTCAGACTGCTGACTTGCTGATTGGCTGTCTTGAGATCATTGGAAATGAAGGATCTCTTCTGCATCTCCTGCTCCTGCTGAAGATTCAGCTGCTCCATCTGAAGATGCAAAATGTCAAGACCTTTTACAAGAATCCTTCACATAAATGTTTGAAATTACTTAAAACAGCAGACATTTACAAAGATCGCTGGGAGTGTTAGGAGAAATCTGTACTTTTATACCAATGTTATTGCCCTTACACAGATGTATACATTTACCTTGTATTCTCACTATGGTCTAAGAGTTACAGAATAATCACAAACTTGCTTGAGTATGATTTGAACCCTCAACTTCCTGCTAACTTTTATGCAGCCATCCACCAAGTTTGCTAGGATATGCTGGCTGGCTTGAATCCATTCTGAAGGCTCAACAAACTGAGCTTGATCTGTTGGCAAGATTTCCCC